GTAGTGTAGTTGGTGTGGAGAAGCACGGGCAGGGCAGAATTTAGCTGCCATCTGACCATTCTCCTGTTGGCCACATTTTAATGTTGAATAAATCCAGCAAGAGACAGCTCTTCCTTTGAGTTATCACCAGGCAGGGGTCTGAGGGTGTGAAGACATTTTTGTGTTGCAGTCTGCTGCGTTGGCCAAAGGAGCCTTTGGGACCCTGTCCCCTTCTCAGGTTGAAACGGCAGTGTTCCTGGGTTGACGGTATCAAACGAGCAGAGATGAGCCCAGGACCGTAATCACTGGTGTCTGTCCTTTGTCGGTCAGTGCACAGAGCGTGCCCGTCTGTGCTGCTGAAGCAGTCTCTCTTCCATGTCCTGCCAGAGCGCAGACACTCAGCACCCAGGACACGGGCATCAAGGAGATGTCGGGCTTTGCCGGGAGCTTGCTCAGAAGTGGGTATCAGATGCTGGTGGTAGGAGGCAGCGCTGATGTGTCGTGGCTTGGTTTCTTCCATGCTGGTCAGGTTATTGTATGTTTAAGGAAGAGAAGGAGGTAGTCCTTTCCTCAATGAAGTTGTCAAGATTGTAAGTATTTCTGTATTACTGCTGTTAACAAAATGCGTTACTTTTAGCATGTCCATACACTTTGTGTTGCTATCAGTGGCCATCTGCAGTAGCTCAGGACTGCAGGCTGTGGTGGGCAGGTGGGCTAGTAGGATTAGTAGGAGTGGAAAGTCACCTTTGTTTTCTGTACCGTTCCCCCAGCATTAGTTTTTTCCAAGGTGGTAGGTTGTGCCTGAGGATCTCGGTGAGATACCGTACCAGCTCTGTGCAGAAAGTGTGCGTGGTTCCCAGTTGTGCAAGGCATACCTCATCTTGCACACGTGGGATCACGTTTGGCATTCCAGCCTCGGTGGTGGTGTGGTTCGGTGATGCTGTGAAGAGGCAATACTTGCAGGACTCCTCCTCCTCTGGTGTTCCCAGTAAAGAGCCCCAGCCTAGTGCAGACCTTCTTGTGAGTGGGGTGCAATCCGAATCACATGGAAAACAGTACGTGCTTTCCCAGGATTTTCTGAATCAAGCCCATTAGTTCCAGAGTACGTATCTTTGCATTTTGTACTAAATAAATTTTGTGGTGGTTTTGTTTACTCATTTTTCAAAATCATCTAATCCTGCATGACATCTTGATCGCCAAAATACTGGCAGTGCTTCCAACTTAACGCCACCAGGAAGTTTTACCAGAACCTGTTGAAAGTATTCCATTTGTCCAAAGATCCTCAGGTGACTCTGCAAATGGTGTCCTTCCCAGCTGATGGTACCCTTTTTTGCTAACTCACCTTTATCCAGTTCCCTGTGCATCCGCACCTTAATGAAGAATTTACAGTTTGTTTTGATTCAGTTGTTTTACTGAAGCAGCCAGGCTGCCACGCTCCACGCTTAGAAAAATGGCATTCTGGTTTTAGGTCGTTTTCCATTTACTGCCATGTCATCAGTTAGGCTTTACTTAAAGAGGCATCACAAAGCCTTGCCTGCTGGTGAGGTCACACTAACATGTCTACATGAATCTCTTTTTTTGGGTTATGAGGAAATAGTGATTGTGAGAGCTTTGCTTGAGAGACTGTAGGCAGGGTCAGGGAGAGTTCAGTTCCTGGAGGCTTTGGCTCAGAGAGGCAGTTAGTATTTTACATGTAGCCTTTTATTCACCTTTCACTTCGCTTACCTAATTTAAAGGGAACGTATCCAGCAACTGCCAGTGGTGTCACGTCCATAAGGGATGCAGTTGCTGAGAGCTCTAGCCTGGTTGGGATACCTTGCAGGTCCCTGGGACAGGCTGGAGTTGTGCAGCCAAGAGGTCCATGAGCGGAGCGAGCGGCCGGGCAGCAAGGACATTTCTCTGCAGTTGGGTGACTCCAGGCGGCTGGTGTGAAGCGCAGGGAGCTGCTGGAGAGACTGCAGAGGCTGGTGGAAGCTGGTCCTGGAAGTCGTTGCGGCACCGTCTCATTTCAAAGTGAAATTTTCACATTGGCAGCGCTTCTTCGTGGCACGTGCTGCTGTCAAGGCAGGCGTCGGATTCGGGAGATCGTGCTGGGTGCGGGTGCAGGGTCGGGTGGTCGCAGTGGGTGTGCAGTGTGGGCTCCAAGGGCGTGTCGGCATCGTCCCCAGGCATGTCCCCTTCTGCACACACCTGGCGTCCTGCAGGCCCGGTGTGGGTCACGCCGCAGCTGTGGCCTCCTGCCCTGGCAGCGTGGTGTGCTCCCGGGGCAGCTGCCGGCAAAGCCGAGCGGCGCTGCAGGGCAGGCTCTCGAGGCGCCTGGGGTTGCAGCTCTGCGCGTCTGACCACAGCAGGTTCCTTTCCTGCTGCCCGGCCTCACCCACCACGGTGCCACGAAACCGAGGAGGTCTGTCAAACCTGTCTGGGGCCAGGTCTGGAGGGTGCCTTGGCCGTGGCAGAGTCGCGTGTCCCTACCTCTGGTCAGGGCTGGGGCACTCGGGTGTTTGCGGCGGCCCGCGCTGCTCCTCAGAGGAGTGATGGAAGGACATGTGCCTGCAGCCTGGGGCTCCCAGCGTGGCTGGGGTGGAGGTGGAAGGGGCAAATCTGGGCTCCCTGGGATTCTGCAGGATTTTCCCTTCTGCTAGAGGAGCTTCTCCCAGGCTCTCCGCACGCTCCCCTCTCC